TATATATATATATTTCTATTTTCTCCTTTTTTTAGTAGATATTCATTAAATCTATTTATATACATAAAATGTGAGCTCAAATAGTATATCTAATAGAGACCTTCTAATGGAGTCGCGACACGAGCCGATTTGAGCCGACTTTTGTACGCAGGATAGTAATTTCAATAAAATCTATAACAGAGAGAGAAATATATTGTATTTCTATTAACTAACGCATCTCTAATCTAAACCTGCAGTGACAGATCACTCACACACGTGTACGTACATATGTAAAAAAACACGATAATAAATCGATGGCGAGGCACAATATAATTTGTTTAAAATAAATGTTAAAAGTATAAAAAAATTTTATTTCTTTTTCTTTACGTGTCAAAGTATCGATTGTGTATCTTGAAACGTGCGAAAGTTAAACAGAACTGAGTGAATTTATTAGGTATTATATTAGTAAAAATATAATATTAGACATTAATGAAATTATTCCATTGAATTTGCCACATTTGTAATTTTACTCTCGTTTCGAGATACACAATAAAATCTTTAAAGTTTCAAAATAATTTTGTAAAAAAAGGCGTTAAACTAAATGATTTTTTTCGCATTTATTTAATACCTTTTAAATCTCTAATTTTAATTATATTATAGAAATTTAAAAGTAACACGAATATATAATAGATATTCAAATATAGAATTTCTGAAACATGGCAGATTACTTAACATGCGACTTTCTCATGTCGTGACTCTTATATTAGAGGTCTCTAGTATCTAATAAATTGTAGAACAATCAATAATATGCAATATTTAATTAATAATAGTGTCTTTTAATTACGATTTAAAAATCACTCTAGATGATCGTTTACACAAAACAAAAATTAAATGACTAATCCCAGGTCAGCGATAATTGCTCGCGCGTTTTATCGCAGTACCTGAACGGGATGTTCTCTCAAATTTAAGTAGAACCAAAGATTTAAATTATTTAGAAAATACTATTATTCAATGACACTCATCATCGTATGAAACGAGGAGTCGAGGGATGCATGCAGAGAGAACGCCTCCGTTTTATACGAAGAACCGATGATTCCTGAGAGATATTTGCGAGAGGGAGAAAAGGAAGGGAAAAGGGCATTGAGAGCCGAGAGGTTTAAAGGGTGTCCAACAGATCAAGAAGCTCCAGTTGATTATTTTCGTCCCAACCGGCAATCAACAAACTCGTGAAGTCGTCCTCGCTCAAGCTCACCTGCGTCGACTCCGGTACCTCTGACAAATTGTCCGTTATGGGGGGTGACACGCTACTAGGCGGGGTCTCATACAGGGTATTCGACAAACAGCTGGTGGGCGGCGTGCAGCTGCTGCTGGTCTGAAGAACATTGAGCGTCATCGCTGTCGCTACCGTTGTTGTCGGCGTTGTCGTCGTCGTTGTCGTAGTTGTCGTCATAGAAGGAGATTGCCTCTTTGTGCTCCGAGCTCGCTGCGAGATCGCGGAACGGCGCCTGGATCGTTTACCTTCCTCCATTCTTTCGAGATCCAGCTTCCAGAAGCCACCCTTACCCGGCTCGTCTTTGGAACGTGGCAACTTCAAGAAGCACTTGTTCAATGAAAGATTGTGCCGAATTGAGTTCTGCTCGAGATAAACGATAAAAATATCATTACTATCAGCGCTCAATAATAAAGTAAATTCAGTACTTAAGTAATAAAGTCAAAAATTTTCTTTGTAAAGTTTCTTTTTAAAGTTTTTCGGAAAGCAATGAAACGAAAATTTATACTTACATTTTAGATAAAATATGAAATAATAAAACTTAGATAAAATACATTTTTAAATAGATAATTAAATATATTTAACAATAAAATGAAAATATAAAAGGTTTCAAAAGATTACAAATCAACTAATAAAACAAAGATCTACGTTAAAGTAAGTTCTTTAATGCTAAAATAATACAAAACAAAACTTAAATAATATAAGAGTTTTGTTATGCGGTAGGATAAAAGCAAGGAATATGTTAATTTAAAAAACGGAGTATCACGGATATTGTTTTTTAAATTAACATTACTTCGATACAAATGCATCAAGATTTTGAATTTATGCATAACTCCTAAAGAATATGTTAGTTAAAATATCCATTAAATAAAAGTCGCCAAAATTTGATCCAACATCAGTATTAATAAAAAAGCAAAAAATATAAATATGAGAGATCTACAAAATGAGATGTAACAACTTCCAGCGATTGCCGCTAGATTGCAATGCTTTATTTAAAAAATAAGACCTTATTCTATATTAGTAACCCTATTCCATATTCTCTGTTTTTATCTTACTATTTATTAAAGAACTTGCTTTGGCTCGTAGCGTTTTATTAATTAAATATATTTTTATTAGTTAAATATATTTAATTATTTAGATAAAAAGAAATACATTGTTGATTAATTCAAGGAATAAAATAAAAAACAAGAATTACAAATATAAAATCCGTTTACCTGCCAGGCTGGATCGGCGTACTTGTAAAACAAGAAATTTTCTCGGATCCATGCGTAGATGTTTGAAAGGGAGACCTTGTTATTATTGGCGCGCATCGCAAGACAAATGATAGTGGCATAGGAAAACGGCGGTTTTGCATCAGGATCCGTTCGATATTTCTCAGCATTTTCCGCAAGATCTAGTAGATGGGAATTCGAAAGAAAATTGTCCACTCAATTGTGCAATATTACTACAAAGTGTATTTCTAGCAATCTTCATCGTTCTGCGATTCAAAAATCGTGTATCTAGACATAATTACTTTCAAAATATTAATCAAATAATTTAAACATTTCATAAAAGTTATCGATATATAAGTAACGAGAAATAAGGTGGAAAATTGCACATAAAAAATAAATAAATTCGAAAAACAAATACAATAAATTTTTAATAGCAAATAATTAAAATAAATTTTTATGGTTTGTATATCTCTCAAACAGATATAAATAGTATAATAAATTTATGAAATAAGAAATAAGTTTTTAAATAAATTTATTTCTTAATAGTCGGGAAGTCCTCTATCACTTAACAATTTTCACAATAATTAACGAGATATTAATTTCTAAAGATTGAATAAGCCCAGTCATACCATCACTCGCTTTGTGTTGTGTAAAGTGTACGCAAAGCGAGAGCCATCCCACATTAAAATATGATTTGGGTTGGATTATTTTTTTTTTTTTAAGTCCCACCTCCCGCAGAGAGGCGGCATATCTGCCTCTACGCATACACTTTACAACGCAAAACAATAAAGAGGGATGTGACTTTTAGGGGATGTGTAATATTATGTATTAAGAACTACTTCACTTTCTCCCTATCAGAAATAAGACGTTATTAGCAGAAATAAGATTCTATTTCTTAAACTTTTTTGTTTCTAACTTTTTAACTAGTAACGAGCGACGGCTAAAACTTGGAGGTCACTCAGAGTCATGACCTTGACAATATATGTCAAAGTCAAGATCATCGAACCGGAGTACCTTGATCGATATTTTTATCAATTGTTTTGTTAATAACATTTTAACGGATAACGACCGACTAAAATTTATCAATTACTCAGCATTATAATTTTAATAATGTGTCGAGATCAAGATCATCGGAGCGAGAGGTCCCCTGTTTATATTTATCAAATAAATTGTGTGTGTGTGTGTGTGTGTGTATGCATACACAATTTATCTCTTCTTGAGAAAAATTGATAAACTTTCAACTCTTTCGATTGGGTCTTCCTCAGTGTAAAAATAAAAATAAAATCGGTGAAGTATAAATTTTATATAAAAGACGCGAAGCAAATTGAAGTATCGTTAACATATATTCATAAAATGATAATAATGCTGTCCGTCGTACACAATTTCTTTTTAGATATAAGGTTATTCCTAAATTAAATAAACAGTTTTTGATATATTTTCAAAGTCGGCTCTTATACCGATTGTGTTGTTTTATGAAAACACATTTCAATATTAATATACACTTTGAATTTTTATTCTGTATTTATTTCTGTTTTCTGGTATCATCAAAGATGACTTCAGAAGCGAGAAAATATAGAAATGTGTTTTAAAAACAATACTTACGAAAGAATTGACTTTGAAAATATACAAAAAATTGAGATAGTAATGGTAAGCGAATAGAAATTTTACAATTTACGATAAATTACGAAAATAGAAGGCTTAAACTTCAAAATAATAATTTTTTATGATTTTTTGAAATTCAATTGTATAATAATAATCAAAATTGCGATCACAATTATCCCTTTCTGAATTAAATTCTGAAAACTTGAAATAAATCCTTAATACCTAGTTCGGCCTTGATCAAGGGCGACAACTTCTTTGGGGGTTGGCGAATGATCGGCGGCGGCGACGGTGAACAGGGTGGCGTCGGCAGGCCGGATGCGCTAGTAATATCCAGTGACTGCAACCAGGAGAGACTTGTCAACTCGGCCTCGACTCCATCGTAGTCGTCTGTGCTGTCCATGCTGCTGCTATCCATTGTGGTGGCGGTGGTGGTAGCAGCAATGGTAGACGAGCTATCCTCCGTCGATACTTCAACTTCTACTAGATCGATCCTCATTTTTATCGTCTTTCATTACCCGCACCAGCTTGCCAGCGCGATAAGCGCCTGTTAAAAACAATGGTTCTTCGTTGCAGCGTTAATTTTTCCTACAAGGTGCGTTCCTCACGTTTTAGAGAATCGTCGAGGGTTGCAATAGAAACCCTCCAATAACAGTAATCGAATTATTCAAGTTAAATTTTGTAAATTATAAACGATAAGGATACGAACGATTTTGTTCGGGAAGCAATGAATAAACGTTGTCGAATTTTTCTGTCCACTCGCAAGCTTTTAGATAGTATCGTGCAATATGGAGAAAAGTTAAATCCCGACTGTATTGCCTTCAGAATTGTTCACGCGTTACTTGGAACTCATGATTCACCAATTTATAGAAATGTCTTCTGACGTCATGAGAAATAACAAGCGCGCGTTTAATGTAAAACTTCCCCTTTTCTTCTTTATTTTATCTTACGTACTATAGTATTATATACGTATAAATATAGAGAGCGTTTTGTTGAAATTCACACATATTTCCCCGCACTCTTTGGGAGGCAGACGGCATCAATAATGCGTCACCCGTTAACGTCGCTCGTTCGCGGAAAGGCACCAACATTGATCACAATCTTACAGAGTGAGGAATTTGCATAAAAAAAAAAAAGGGAGATTACAAAAATCACGATACCATGCTCGAAACTGAAATTATTTCACGCTATTCCCGATAAAGACGAGGTATGCACGTATATATGACGAGCGTTTAACGACGACTGACTGCGAGAGAGTGGCGTGCACACGGCATGGTCGGGCGAGTTCGACTGGTGGTAGCAAAGGGGTGGAACGCACTTGGCTGGCTAGCTATTCAGCTACCTGCTTACCAGCGACCTGACAGAGACACCCCAGTGCGCGCGTGTGGTGACAGGTGCTAGATTCCCTCTCGCACAGGTGGACCATGTACACGCGTCGCTGGTCAGACCCACCAACGATTCTCTTTCTCTAATATTTTCCTTTTCGTCGATCCTTCCCTATAACTGAAATCAACGGAGGAGTTTCGTAATCCCGTTCATGGCGATTGGCGAGTATAAATATGAGTGGCGACGCTGAAATATTTCAGATCGCAGATGACAGTTACATTAATTAAATTAAGATATTTGTCGGTTACATAATGCATATTTCAGCAATATATGGTGTCTTATTGAGTCTTTCTTTTCAAACATTTGAAACAGATCCGAATTATTCCAAGTATTATTCGAAACTGGAAAAATATGAAAATTTGAACAATTTTTTAAATTGTGAATGTCTTGAACATTTAGAAAATTTGTCCTTTAATGTATTTAAATCTTAAGTATATACAAAATCTTACAAATAAAATTGTTATCGATTATATTAGTAAGTAAAATAGATTTGATAAGTCTCGAACCTACTACACTAATTCTAAATTTTCGTAATCTTTTTTGTGAAAAAAGTATTCTTAATAATTAAATAAGTATATTACAAGGCTCTAATAAACATAAATATGATTAATACAATAAATTTTGAGATATGTTAATATATTTACGTCCGACTTTAATCTAACTACTTAAATACATTGTAGATAGTTTTATTATTAACACAAAAATATATAAAAATATATATAAATTTATTTCAATAGAAGATTTTTTTATAATCACTACTTGTGTGTTAGTATTTATATCCATAACAAGAGCCGTTTTATTTTTTAATAGCATACAATTTAATAGCATGAAAAAATATCCATCGTAAAACTTTTAAAAAAGAATTTATCTAAAAAAAAGAATTATAGTTTTTATTATATTTTGTCAATTTTAATTACTCGATAAAAATTGTTTCATGCATGAATATACATATCTAATTATATATAAACATACATAAACATGTATAAACATTTATAATATACATAATTATATATGAAATATGTCTATACACGTCCATATTTTCTTCTTTTTTAATAAAATTACTGTTTAGTTAATATAATAAAAATAATAATAATATGAGAAAACATCAAAAAGAATTGATAATTGCTTCTTATAAAAAAAAGATCAAGTTTGGAGGAATGTAAAAACATTGTTCATATAAATAATTATGTACAATATAATTTTATATATAATTATATATAGTAAGTATATATAAAATTTTGAACTTTTAATATTATCAGTATTAGTACAAAATTTCTTTTTTTTTTTATGCTATTAAAAAGTTAAACAACTTGCCATATACTTTTGAAAAAATTTACATAATTTTCCCTGCTTTTTAGGATTTTTCAGATTTTCCAAATGTCCTATCTATAGATACAACAAATGAACGAAGGCGGTATACGCGCACTTGGCTCTGTCAGTGTTATGTAGGCGGAGGTGAACGCAGTTCGCCCACTCGTCTTGGTACAGGTGCTTCCATTGATCGGATTGAGGGAGGCAGCGACCGCCAGTTACGATAAAGCCGGCGAACGAGAGGGGTAAAAGCCACGGCTATTCGACCGAGACGAGAGCATGGCGGATTTACCCCGGACATCATCATTGGTCGACGTCCATGCGGAATCGTTAGCATGAGATTCGTCAGCCTACTGACTCAACAAAGACGTGGGACAGTTGCGTACGATATGTACACGTAAACGTTTTTGGACGTTTTACAGACAATTAATCCTTTTCCGGGAGCGAAAAGAAAAAATATCACGAAAAAATATGTTCTTGTAATAAAACAACAATTTTAAGAAGACAAACGCTTCCAAAAATGTGTTTGACAAAAT